TATGTGAAAAGTAAAGTGCGTGATGTGTAAATATTAAACATCGTAGCCATACTGGTTAAATATGTATCAATCTTAACCCATTAAGTGCCGTATGTACAAGTGAAAATGTGGTCTGTCCCCACCTTGTATGTTGTATGTCCCCTTGCTAGGGGAAGTCTGTTGCGGGAGCAGCGTGCTGTGAAAAATGTATGTGAACTATATTACCAGTTACATATATACAGATGCGTCTGCTACTGTGTAATAATATGTGTATTTATACCAGATGTTGATATAGTGCTTGCTATGTGAATTGTTGTATGTCTTATTGAATGGTAGGGGTCAGTGAACATGGTGTTGCAAAATGCAAGTGCACTGGAGATCTGCCGAGTGCCCTATAGGTGGCAGTGTAGTTGGATACTGATTGGTATGTGAAATGTTGTTTGTCTGTTGACCTATAGGTGTCAGTGTTTTGGTGTTTGTAAAACCCCATGAAAATTGTCAATGTACTTGACAGACCTGTAGGTGGCAGTGTTGATAGAACCACTGTTGGTCTTGATGTGAAATGTAAATTATTGTGAATTAAACCTGAAGTTGAGCCCGTGCTGGAGTTTAATTTATGGTCTATAGTTATGTTTAAAACAATCTTATGTGTAATTTATATTGGCTGGTAAATTGTATATGACATGTGAAGACAGTTTTGCTGTTGACCAGTAGGGGTCAGAAATGCTGATTGTATGTTAAAATACCCTTTAACCCCTTAAGGACCAAACTTCTGGAATAAAAGGGGATCATTACATGTCACACATGTCATGTGTCCTTAAGGGGTTAATGCTACCATTTGACAGATAGAAGTCAGTATGAAAGCAAAAATGCTGTAGTTAGTTTGTTTGCTTATGAAGTGGAATAAAATCTGAGAAGCCTGTAGTATACTGATTGACCGGTAGGGGTTAGCATGTAGGCGAAAATGCCGTGGTTAGTTGGTTTGTACATAAAATGCAATAATGTCTGAGAAGCCTGTAGTACACTGAATGACCGGTAGGGGTCAGTGTGTAGGCGCAAATGCAGTGGTTCGTTGGTTTGTACATGAAATGCAATAATGTCTGAGAAGACTGTAGTACACTGAATGACTGGTAGGGGTCAGTGTGTAGGTGAAAATGCAGTGGTTTATTGTTTTGTACATGAAATGCAATAATGTCTGAGAAGCCCGTAGTACATCGAATGACCGGTAGGGGTCAGTGTGTAGGCGCAAATGCAGTGGTTTGTTGATTTGTACATGAAATGCGATAATATCTAAGAAGCCTGTAGTACACTAAATGACCAGTAGGGGTCAGTGTGTAGGCGCAAATGCAGTGATTCGTTTATTTGTACATGAAATGCAATAATGTCTGAGAAGCCTGTAGTACACCAAATGACCAGTAGGGGTCAGTGTGTAGGCGCAAATGCAGTGATTCGTTTATTTGTACATGAAATGCGATAATGTCTAAGAAGCCTGTAGTACACCAAAAACCGGTAGGGGTCAGTGTGTAGGTTAAAATGAGGTGGTTTATTGGTTTGTACATGAAAATGCAAAAAACTTCTAAGATGCCTGTAGTACACCGAATGACCGATAGGGGTCAGTGTGTAGGTGAAAAATGCAGTGGTTGGTTGATTTTTTACATGAAATACAATAATGTCTGAGAAGCCGGTAGTACACCAAATGACCGGTAGGGGTCAGTGTGTAGGCGAAAATGCAGTGGTTCATTGGTTTGTACATGAAATGCAATAATGTCTAAGAAGCCTGTAGTACACCCAAAGACCGGTAGGGGGTTTAAACGAATGATTTTCATGAACATGCAATGGTTTTAGAACAGACATAGACAAAATGCAGCCGTAAAGTGAGGACCTGACCCTTACATAGTGCCGTGGGACTGATGCCTGGCGTAACGGGTAGGTCGACTTACGGTTTGTGAGTCAATTGGACACCATCCACGGCGATGGATTGAAGAAAGAAGGTGGTAGGCCGGAAAAGCCTGTGGCTGGATTCCTGACACAGCTCTGCTTAGAAAACCTCATGGAGTAATCAGGTAAAATGGCGTCTGGAATGACCCGGAAGTGGAAATCATTCTGTGTGTGTGTGTATATATATATATGTGTGTGTGTGTGTGTATATATATATATATATATGTGTGTGTATATATATATATATGTGTATATATATGTGTGTGTGTGTGTATATATATATATATATATATATATGTATATATATATATATATATATATATATTAGTGCTCCAGCACTAATGCCCAATATCCACGCTTATGGGGACAACAGATTTCTCCTACCCACACGCTGTCTCACAGAGAGACACTCTGTTCATATCCCACCTACCCCGCCCAAGTTACTTCCCCCGAAGTCAAACCCTTCCATTGGAACCAGGAAGCGCCTCAAAAGGATCTAAAATCTCACTCTAACACACATACCGTAGAACGGCCAGCACAACTGAATATGGAACATCACACGGTAGCAGGACAGCAAACCAAACTCACTCCATGAAACGGAATCTATATGACTCTCTCTAAATGGAAACCCAAGACCATACCCAGGGATACTAAATGAGCCACCCACCCCACATACCTTATATAGGATATTTAATTACAGACTATCAATACCCGCGGCCTGAATACGCCGCATAAAAGACGAATCCTTCTAGAAGACGCAAAATGCAACAAGATAGACATACTATGCCTGCAGGAAACACATTTCGTGCACAATAGAGTACCCAGCTTTGCAAACCGGGACTAACCCACGCAGTAAAATGCAACATACTCCTCTAAATCAAGAGACATCTCAATACTCTTACACAGCTCTTTATCTTTTGAACTCTTACAACTCAAAAAAGAAGCACAGGGCAGGTACGTTATACAACACTGCAAAATCAACGCTACCCTATATACCCTAGCGAGCATATATGGGCCCAATGAGCATCACAGAAACTTCTTGCATTAAGTTCTGACGAAACTCCCCACTTCGCTTATATAATATGTGGAGACCTCAACCACGTAACGCAGCCACAACTGGACACGACTCTGCCTGAAACATTACCCAGACACACATTACACTACCAAAGAAGCACACTCATGCGACTCCTAGCAGAATTCGTCTTATATGACATATGGGGGACACAACACCCGAACGACCGAGAATTCACCTTTTATTCCTCAGTACATAGAACATACTCGAGAATTGACTACATTTTTGTTTTCAGGGACCTCCTCCCCTGCGCAACACACTGCACGATAGGTGACATAGTATGGGCAGGCCATGTGCCAGTGACATTAACACTAAGGGACCAATTCCAATTCTGAGGGATGGTGCCTAAACGACACTCTCCTACACAACTTGGAATTTAAAAACAAACTGACGAAATAGCAACATACTTTACCCTAAACGAAACACCTGATATATTGCCAGCCACCATGTGGCAGGCACACAAAAAAAAAAAAAATATATATATATATATATATATATATATATATATATATATATATATATATATATTTTTTTTTTTACACACACACACTAACTATGAGCTTGTCCAAAAGTAAACCACTGCCAAACCGGTCAGGGGGCTCATCATAAGTAGGGTGTCATATCTAAAAGGTACATCACAGCAAGAGTACATTAGCTTGCTATGAGCCCTTAGGGATGAGACTAATAATCAACTCCTCTACCCGTCACCGGAAAGGCAAATGCGCATAGACAAATTAAAGGAGCATCTAAACGAGACACCTCTCCAAACCACAGCACTCATGACACATAAGTTGAAGTCAACTACTTAGACACAGGGAAATATAGTGGGGGAGGCACTGGCATCACTTCTAAGACACAAATAACAGAACTCCAAAATACCATTCCTCATAAACTCGAAGGGAAATAAAATATACAAAACACAGGACATAAATGACACAATGGCAGACTACTACCATAAGCTTTACAATTTAAAAAATGACCGCACTACGCCCATCGGAAATTTATGGTTTCCTGAACGAAATAAACCTCCATAAACTTAAACCAGCCGACCAACTAATGCTAGAGGCTCCCATTAAGCACCAGGAAATCGCACACTCCCCACGGGGAAATCACTGGGCCCAGACGCGTTTACAAATGTATACTATAAAACCTTCTCACACATTCTAACCCTTAAACTAGAGAAACTCCATAACAATATCCTGACCACCGGCACTATTCCCCAGGAAATGCTGGTAACTCACATTGCCACTTTGCCTAAACCGGGCAAACCACCACACAAATGCCCAAACCTACGCCCAATATCATTGCTAAACACAGACTTGAAAATTTTGGCAAAAATATATGCAACAAGAATGGGGGACCTTATATCGTTACTGATCCAAGATGACCAGGTGGGACTCGTTGGGGCAGTCAGGGATCGGACAGGACGAGGAAACTCATAAACCTCATCCACCTGGTACGGCGGACAGGGGAACCCAGTGTGGTGCTTTCACTGGATGCAGAGAAAGCATTCGATAGACTGCACTGGGGATACCTGAAAGCTGTACTAAGAAAATTCGAATTCCCACAGCGTCTCTTAAGCCCTTTACACTTACCCAACTGCCCTTTACACTTACCCAACAGCAAGGGTGGTCAACGGAGGCTTCACCTCAAAACCACTACCCACCTAAAATGGGTCTAGGCAGGGTTGCCCACTATCACCCCCTACTATACATACTAGCACTATAACCCCTAGTGCAACACATTAGAGAATCCCAAAATATACATGGGGTGCACGCAGGCGGGAAGATGCATAAAATCACACTGTTCGCAGATGATGTAATGCTCACACTCTAAACCTGAGGTCTCTATACCAACACTTCAGGACATATTAACACGGTTCGGCAACTGCTCATACTACAAGCTAAATATCACTAAGACGCAGGCCCTGAGCTTCCACATACCCAAAACCCAACTCACTCACTTACAAAGCAAACACACATTGGACTGGAGGCAGGACCACCTTACTTTTCTGGGGATTACCATCACGACAACCATACACACAAACTATACAACGCCAACTACATAAAGCTACTCAATGCAATTCAAAACCAGCTACAAGGCTGGAAGGAAAAATACGTTTCATGGACTGGCAGAGTGGCGGCGGTAAAAATTATCGTTTTGCCAAGGCTGCAATACCTCTTCGGGACACTGCAAATCGGGATACTGAGGAGGTTTCACCTGGAAACCCAAAGAGTCATAAATAACTTCAAATTGGGGGGGTAATAAATCTAGGATAGCGGCAGAAGTCATGTACAAACCTTTTAAAAAAGGAGGCATGGGTGTGCCTGACGTCTGCTGCTACCACACCGCAGCCATGGTGGGCACACTACTATTCACCTTCCATCACACTCCAGCGGTGGCATAGAGCCAAATAGAAGCAACACACACTGAGGGCATAACACTGCCCACTCTAGCTTGGCTAGCGAAAGACAAAATGCCAAAATATAAGGATATTTGCTCAACCACGGCAGTGATACTCCAAATATGGGACAGATTCTCCAGGGAACACTATCCAAAGACATATATATCCCCAGCCCGGCAAATACTGGTGTTCCACGTATTTATCCAGGGTTTTGACCACAAGGTGTGGTACACACACAAGGTTAGGCAGCTCTCCCAGCTAATGACAAATGGATACATGCTCGATTTTTGCCTCTTTGAAAGACAGATACAATCTCCCACAACAAGCTTTATTCTCATACCTACAAATAAAATCCTGGGTAAACATGGCAGCAAAAACATAAACGCACAGGGACAAGAAATGACGGAGGTAGAACGAATATGCTTGGCCTCTAAACCACCCCAAAAAGTGCTATCGAGCCTGTACAAAGTAGCCCGAAAGCACAAAACTACCGAGAAAATTGGATTCATGAAAGCATGGGGAAAAAAACCTAAACCATGACATAACGGACGATGAATGGTCCACAATATTACTACCACACAAACAACTCACCTTATGCACCTCACATATTGAAACCAGCAGAAAGGTACTGTACTGCTGGTACATGGTCCCAGCCAGACTGCAACACCTTGACCGCACAAAATCAGGGACATGCTGGAGGTCCTTGAAAGCGCAAGGGACCATGATCCACATATGGTGGACCTGTCCGAAACTAACGAATTTCTGGAAGGAAATTCCATCCATCATTCAAGGCGCCACAGGCACTAAATTACCACATAAACTAGAAACATACCTACTACTGGCATTATCGCCAGGGATGCACAAAACAGACAAATACCTAGCATACCACATCATCATCGCGGCACTGACAACTATTAGCAGATCATGACTGAACGCCTGAGGACTGCAAACCAGTTCTGGTCACTAGCATGGCAAAAATGGGAGCTATGGCGACAGCTCAGGTTATAAGAGGGCTTGGTCCTGTACACCCACGTTTATTAACACCGACACACCACGTCCCACTGGTTTGAGGTCCATAAAATTTTGCCCCAAAATAAAATTGGCATATACTGTTAACTCATAAGACTTTTTTTTGGTTATGGGCCCACCCATTACCCCTTATTACGTTCCACTGGTTCGACTGAGTTCCTTGGTTTATTGAGACGGTACATGTACAAATCCAGGATGCTAGCCTAGTTAGAGCACTAGGAAATATTATTAGTATTATTGTTATACTTGTCATGGAGTAAGACGAGCAAGAAGTTTTTTTTCTTTTTTTTATGATGTATCAACCTACAAATATTGAAGGAATACCATGGCACTTTGTATACTTGTACCAAAACTAAAATAAAATATTTTACACAAAAAAGTAAACTACTCATATGGTTAAATTTTTTACAGTCTGTTTTTTTTGGTTTTATTTTACTTTTCTTTAACAATGTTTTGTACCCCAAAATACACTATGTAGAATACAACAAGGAATTATATTTCTATACTGTACTGACAAGGCCAGACTTGGTACAGCTGTATTACTATTACAAATGTTGGCAAAGCAGATGGGCTAATACATATTTATATAGAGTGTACATACTTTTATTACAAAATATTGCTTCGAATTCCAAATCCTGCCATTTTGATATGATCTGAGAACAGAAAATGTCACTACCTTCCTTATGTAAAGAAAGGTGTGTTTTTTTTTTGTTTGTTTTTTTTTTCTTCACTCCATGTATTGTTTTGTGTTTTCATTAATTTTTGTTTTTTTTCTGTTTAAAAAGGTATTGCAACAGTCACCTTCAGGTTCTTGGATTCATTCCCAAAAAAGAAAGGAAGAAAAAGAATGATTCTTTGGAGGAAGTGAAGTCCAGGCATCAAATGGAGACTGTGGCCTTCAGTTTGACCGTGCCTAGTTTGGCCTTGAAGATGCCAAATGGACTAGATGGAATGACTCTTTCTCCTCCAAGTGCAAGGCTCCCCTTCCACTATCTTGAAACAGACTTAGAAGATCCTTTCATGTTTGAGGAAGAGCAGGAAGAGCTAAAGAAAGTGGAGTCTGTTAAGAAAAAACTTCAGAGTAAGTTGGCCCAAAATCGTCAGCGCCAAAAAGAGACAGAGATTTTAAAAGTTCAAGAGCACTTTAGCCCTCATTCTGCACCTTCTCCGCTGCAATCTCCATCTGTTCAGGAGCAGCCTACTCTGGTTCAGCCTGCACCAATATCTCTGAAAGAGACTGGGCTGACACAGAGCATTGTCTCCAAGTCACCTCAACATCAGAACACCAGCCTACCAGTACAGGGAGCGTCACCAGTCACGCACACACTAGCACAAGCAAGACTCCAGTCTACCAAGAGACCTCTCCCTGTCCCATCTCCCTCAACAGAACCAACACGGACGGACAGAATACAGGTGCCAGCAACCACCTTGCCTGCTTACTCTTTACGTGTTAGTCGACTGCAAAGACTAATGAAAATGTACACGCAAAAAAAGCAACTAGATACAGATCTCTTTCCACATCTAGGTATGTAAACTCAGCTGTATGTATGGCTGTTAATCGTAGATGGTGTGTGTTTGTGTAAAATATTTCCTATTTTTCTATACTGAAATGAAATTTGATTAATTGCAGCCAATAACACATGCAACAAAGTCTTTCTGTGTTGACAAAACAGCTAGAATTATACTCATTGAATGTTTCATTGGACATCGAATGTGATAGAACTCTCCTACATCTCCACTGTGTGTGCTGTTCTGTAAATCATGGGGAAGTTATTTACTAAAAAGTGTATTGTGGGAAATTGACATTTGTGTTGTAATATTACTTAATTCAGCTTGTGGTTTAATGGAATTATTCCATAGAATATGTATTTGTAGTCGGAAAGTCAACCTAATATATCCATATCTTGCTTGTTCATTTTAAAGCTGACAATAAATAATTAATGTAACACTATAGAATCAGGAACACAAACATGCATTAGTGACACCATAGTGTTAAAAATTCTGTTTAGGCTCCCTTAAATCTAGTAAAACAATACCTTATTCCAGAGCCACGTGGTTATGCTGGCACTGGCTCCGCCCTCGATCCTCCCCCTTGGGTGACCTCATCAGAAGTGATGATCTTAGCCAATCCCAATGATTTCCCATAGGAAAGCTTTGAACTGGCTAAGATTGCCAATTCTGATGCTCTCAACCAAGGAGGCAGGGCGGGCAATAGAGAGAGTCCATACATTTCTATGCGGAAAGTTCAGTGTCTCCATGCAGAGCGTGGATGCGCTGACCCAGGATGCGCTGACCCGAGGCTGCAATGTAAACACTGCCTTTTCTTTGAAAAGGCAGTCTTTACATTAAAATGCCTTGCTATTCTTACCATAATTAATTACATTAAGCTGTAGTTGTTCTGGTGACTATAGTGTCCCTTTAAGGATTACAGAGTGACCTAACTATCTGACAGTATGAATTGAGGACTGAGAATAGACTTCTGCTTGTCTAGCCCAACCAGTTTGTAATGTTTCAAATCAAAAAGGTTTGCACGTCTTTGAGAAATGTTCTTAGTGACATCTAATGGATAAAAATGATCACTGCAATACATTTTCCATTTTAGTTGCTGGTTTGCACACTTTCTGTTTTGAGGCTCAGCATTTCAGATCTCCTTAGCCTGTTTGGACAGCACTTTATCAGAATTGTTTCAGGGTTTTCCAGGTGTTGACACACATCCATTTAGGGGTTAAAGCAGCACTGTCACAGTCTGGCAACTTTGCAGAATTTGCAAAGACCCCCAATGATGACATTGCTGCTGGGGGGGTTGGGGGGCAGTCAGACAAATTTAGTTCTGTTAACATGAACCTGTTCTTCATGGGTGCTGCCATCTTCTTCCGGTGGTTCCTTACATTTTTGAGGTCTATGGAGGATCCTGAGGAATCCTCGATAGACCGAGCCAACTCCTTGCAGTCATCACTGATTAGGGCTGCTGGGGATTGGCACTTCTAGACAGAACTAGCTCCATCCAGTATCTCGACGTTTCAGGCGTAGGAAATATACAGATAAAGAAGTCCCTACTTTGTCTCAGTACATCTATTGATGACTGGGTTGAAATTTCAGTGAAATATAGTATAGTCAATATGAGACTTCAAAGATGCAGAGAGGCATTGCAGAGAGGCATTAAGATAGAACCCCCACAAAGCTATGCCAGCTATGGATATGCCATCTGTCCATGCTTGCAGGGGTTTTTTTTTTAGGAGTGTTTGTGCATTTGAATTTAAGCATATTTTTGTATAGACTATATATGTGCACGTAGGGGTATATTTGTATGTACTGTTGCCATTGAAAAGCAGTGATGTACTTGTGTATAGTGTTTGTTTGAGTGCAGAGTTGTGTTTGTATGTAACATGGGTGTTTTGCAATGTTTGCATTTTGATTGAAGGGGTGTGTTTTGTATGTAGTATTGGCTTTTAAATGCCGTTCTACATTTATGCGCATTATTAATGCTTGAATGTAGGGGTGTGGTTGTATATAATTTTGGAGTCTGACTGCGGTGTGTGTTTGATTGCAGGGCTGTGTGTGCATGTTGTGTTGGTGTTTTCTTGCTGAGATCTATGCACATACAATGCCACAGATATACATACACATGAACATATACACACACAGAAACACACAGAAACATGCACACACCCTCAAAAAGAGCATAACCCTGACACATTAAAAGACTCTGACACATACTTCCAAACTCCGATATATATATACACACACACACACACACACACACACACTAACACATATTTGCACACTCCGATATACAGATACACATACACACAGATACACACTTACACATACACACCCTAACAAAAAGATGAGATAGATGGATATATACACACTCTGTGACACATACACACATTTAAACACAGATAAACATTCACACACAAATTGTTACACACATACTTTTTATATTTGTAGCCATCCTCCTTTTAACATAATAAGAGTGTGGGGCTGGAACTGGCTCTCTATTTGCTTCTCCCCACTCCTGTGCTTCCTCTCCCTCCCGCGCGTCTTGCTCTGATTTTTGGAGGAAGTGACCTGTGGTTACTTCCTCTTGGCATCACTGATACTACAGAGGCCAAGTTGCACTGTTAGAGGGCCACTGCGCTCGACCAGTCCCCTGTACAGCAATGCCAATCAGGTGATCCTTAGTGCATGGGCCCTCTGAGCATTCGGGCCAGTGAATCCGCACTAGCTGTTGTTCCGCCACTGTGTCTGTCAGTGTGTGTGTGTGCTAGTGAAGGTTTGTGTTTGTCAGTTTGTAACGTCTGTGGGTGTGTGTCAAATCAGTTAGTCTTGACTGTCCGTGAGTGTATGCCAGTGTATGTGCATATGAGAGTGGGTGCCTGTCGGTGAGTGGGTGAGCCAGTGTCTGTCAGAAAAAGTGTGTGTGTGTGTGTGCCAATAACTGTGTGTATGTCCGTGTATGTGTCAATGAGGGCATGTCTCTGTCAAAGTGTGTGTTTGCTTTAAACAGGAAGAGTTACGGTATGATTTTGACATGAAAGGGGGAGTGGGAAAATGTAGATTAGGGCCTAGGGCAGCACAAAACCAAAATACATAACTGGAGAGAGACCATTCCTATAGGAAAATTTTACAATAGATCAAAGAAATTGTTCTTCAACAAGTTCCCTTGGCGTAAGTGAAATTGTATGAATTCTTCATAAAATTAATGTCTGTTCCTGATTAGGAAATTGTATGTGTGTTGTAAACACAACCACTGTGAAACTGCTAGCAATTCTTTAAACTATATTTAAATGAAAAGTGGAGCTCCTTTGTTACTGTACTACATTTTTAGCAAGACACATTATCATTGTTAGACCAGGGGTGTCTAACCCGTGGCCCACTTGCCATTTAAACTGTAGCGTCGTGAGGGAGGCAGAGAGCCCTTTACATTCTGCGCTCCTCTTGGATAGCAACACAGAAGGGAGCTCAGTGGCTGTAGAGTCACTTTTAAATTAATTTCACATCTACAGGTGTTATTCTCATAAGTCTGTAATTTCCAAGTTGATATTTGGTGTATTTTTAAACATAGTTTCTGAAAGAAAAGAATCTTGGAAGATTAAAATCAGGGCTCTTAGTAAGGAAATAATAAAACCTCCTAGTACCAATGTTGTAAATACTATTTGGCTCTACTACTTGATAACATTAACTTTATTTCATTTTTAGCACTTTATCCTGTGTCAGTCAGTGGTTTGATGTAAGGCATGTGTAGTGTGTATTGTTTGTTTTGTGCTTTTCAGAACAGTTTAAATTTCCTTCTCTAACAGGGCTGGACTGGTCAGAAGACAGCGGAGAGGACTCTGATCAAGCGTCACCATATCAGGTTGCATGGTCGTTCCGAGAGAGCCTTCATCATGACTGCAAAAAGTGCGTTCTTTGACTTAGCCATGGTTGTGCTTGCATTTTTTAATATGTACTGCTTTTGCAAGCTTTGTCGAACAAACCATACAGAAGTATACTACGTTTATTAACACTTTAATTCAAGACTTGTCATCATTTGTGTTACTTTTGCTCTCAAAAAGAGTCAATGTGCAGCAAAAAGTATTTCCCTCTTGGGTCAGGGGACATTTTATCAATTGCAAAGATTTTGAGTAAGATAAACTAGCTATGTCATGTTTAAAATATGTTTTTAAATAGTCAAAATCATTCTTGGTTGTCCACTACGTAGTTACAAGGCAGAATTTTTGTGTTTGCCCTGTGCTCATCCAGGCACTCTATAATTGTAACTGTATTTGCATAAACCCAAACGGTATGTACAAATGAACTTTTGAATGCTTACAGCAAATGTCTGTTTTTGCTCATTCGCTTATTCTTCAGGGCACAATGAGCACTCTAAACAAAAAGAATGTCAACCAAGACTCTCTGAAGAAGACTTTATAGGGCTTTCTACATAGGTCAGCTTTTAAAAAAAAAACACAAAAAAAACCCACAACATAACAGGTCTGCAGCAGATTTCTAAGGGTGATCATACAGCAAACAAAAATCATATAGTGTGCTTCTGCACCTATTTCTTTACTGTAAAATACAATGATTAGCCCCTTAAGGACCAAACTTCTGGAATAAAAGGGAATCATGTCATGTCACACATGTCCTGTGTCCTTAAGGGGTTAAAGAGGTTATTGGTAACTTGGCATATATCCACTGTCTTCCAGAGAACAGTGACATAAAGACATTCATTGACAGATGTTGAAAATTTATTTTTAAGGGGAATCTAGCATGCAGGCAGGTGACAATAACAATCTGAATGATTGACAACTGCTTATAGGGCTGGAGTCAGTTGAGTGTTCCTTTAAAGGTGCAGTATAAAGACCATGTATGACCACACTAGTTTTAAATGGCCAGCGATTTTAGAAAAATCATTTTAGGAAAATTGCCATTTTATCTTTTTTAAATTTTAATTTTTAAATTTTATTTTTTTACAGGTTTGATGCTGAAATAGCACACCGCAGGAGTTTCAGGGTTGCACAACTTTGCACTTACTTTCAGCAAAAATATAAGCACCTCTGCCGCCTGGAGCGGGCAGAAACCTGTCAGAAAAAATACAGACATACATTCCGGAAAGCCTTACAGAAGGCAGCCAGCAAAGAGCCAGAGTGTGCAGGGCAATTGATGCACAAACTGAGAAGAGCTGCACATATGAGGTAAGGGCCAGTCATACGTCACATCTCTCTTTCTTTACTAATTCACTAGTAATCTTCGGTAGATGTGGTTTTAAAATTTTATATGTATACATATCCCAAATTACCATTTTCTGAAGATGAATTAATGCAGGCATAATCTTAAAAGCCATTTAATGACTATTAACACTTACTGTTCTTGGTGCTTATGAAAAAGAACTTTCCACAACTAGAATTGTGAAGATTGTGTTCTTATTAAACATTGTTTCTGAAAAAAAGGGGGGAAAAAAAGCCTTTGAATTGTTTTGCATTTCCATTTTATCTTGTACAAGAGCCTTGGGTGTGATAGATCGCAGCAAAATTGTGTGTTCAGTCTTTACTTTAACACATTAAAGCAACACTTCCAAGCACTTTAACCACTACAACCTACTGTAGTTGTTATGCCAGGTGAAGCCTGGCACTCTTCAAGAGTAAGTACTCGAAAATTTAAGATGGGTCTGACAACCTACCTATGTCCCACAGGGTGCACTTAGCCTCCTCCACTTTTGGTAGGAGTTCCTGCTTTCGTTAGCTGCACTTAGCATAATGCTTAATGTAACGGACTGTTTTGCACAAAAGGGGTAAAAACCGTTTAGGCGATCGGCCCCCTTTCCAGAGATGCAGGCACAGCTATTGTAAAACACCAAACACACGAACCGCCAATAGGTGAATGCTCCAAACTCCCGAACGGCCTCCAATATAGCACTCCAAACACACGAACAGGAACCATACGAATCGCTGCTAACAGACGAATAGGAAAAGCATCCAAGCGGCTTACACTCCTAGCAATCAGTCTCTATCAGCGTTCAGTAAATCCCCCCAAAGACGAGACAAGGCTCCGTGTTGAGGGTCAAGCAGTGGTCTGTTTAATGAGGGCTACCTGCCCAGTATTTATGCAGGTCTCCCACCTGGTGGACACTCCCCTAGGGGACCAAATGGGAGACTGTGACAAGGGACAGACAAGCAGACAAATAGGACACACAGTCACAGTCTATTCCCACAATGCATCCTGGCTTCCTCCCCTCTGCCCTGGGAGATAATTGAGAAGTAATTCAATTATCTCCCAAGACAAAGGCAAATTGCCATTATGCACGTGGGGATACTAAAACATGAATTACTATTAAAATACACCATGTAAGACACATTACATTAAAACTATACATTTAACATATCCCCAGATAGCTCAGGTCTGAGCGCACATTATTAAGCGAATGGCGCTCAGACCACATGAATACAGTTCAATCGCCATGGAGCCAAAGTCTTTACACAGTCAGTTTCATGCGAATGGGCTCCATGGGATTCCTATCTGAGGTATAACATAGACAAGTAAAACTACCGAACACCGGCCGTTCGTGTACTTCCACCGAACAAGAAGGGAGGTCGGCAGCTTCAGCGGTGTTCGCGCAAAACTGTGTCCGATTTTAGTTCCATGAATTAAGCGTCGAACACCGCTGTGCATTCGTATTTTTAAAATGGCCGTGACCTCGTGTTCAGGATACGAATAGCGGCCACCCAGCATTCGTCAATTAAGCTGCGGTTAACCGCAGCTTCAGGGAGGTTAATTGCCGGCACACTCCAGCTCCCAGGTGGTCTATTCATTCGTGCGGTTGTTCGGTAGATTGAATCTACCGAACAACCGGCAGAAAAGCACGAATAAAGCTTTTCTGCAGGCGAAACAAAGTCTTTTAACATGGGGCCATAGTCCAAAGGCAGCAGGCGGGCAACCAGGCTTCTCCAATGCAATGTGGCGAGATTGGTCTCGTTACACTTAATTTCTGGGTATTTAGGATAACATTCAAGAGTTTATTTTTGCTAATTCAGACGTTTATATCTTACATGTTTCCTTCGTTCCTTATTTATTTATTAGCTTTTCACTTGTTAACGTTTGATCTGATTGTGTTCTTCAGTTATAGACCAATTCAGCCAGAGCTGAGAGAGGAGGAAACCACAAATTGCACTGCAACTGTGAGGAGTGAATCTTGTAGAAACAGAGCACTCCCTTACACGCGCCACTGTTTTCAACGTATCCTTTCAAAATCTTTCTTTTGTGGTCTTTATTCCAATGTCAAGTCCTCCAGGGAGTATGAAAGATAAACAGTAGTCAGATCTCAATGTAATGTGTAGTATATTAGGATATAGGGATAGTCAAAAATATATATGGAAATACACTCACAGGTTTTGGAGCCTCCAACTGGCTCCCACAAAGCAGCATAAAGTAATATAGTCCCCACTTAAGGCTCTTGTTTGCTGGTAGGAAATCCCGCAGTGAAAATATGCAAATGAAAAAACAAGAAATAAAAAATGTAGTGCTCAATGTTGTAAATAAAACAAAGTATTGGAGAGGTCATAGTCACGTGACTAAAAACGAATGAACTGTAATACAATTTTAAACTGCATGTTTGCTTCAGAACATATAAGCTTTGATGATAATAGACCACATAATAGAATATAATATTTAATACAATATTTTGTGTAAAACAAAGTTTATAACAGAAAAAAGTTTAAAACTATAAGTTAAAAAAAATCAAAAGGGCATTGCTGTGTGATCGCCACAGCCAGGACCCGAGCACTCACAGAAAGATAAGTGTTTTATTGAGGAGATTGTCCAACTATCTACCTAATAGACTTTGCATGAGTACATCCAGGGTCTTGCAAAGTCCCATAGGAAAGCGCTCGCTGCGCATTCATATCAGGTTTCCCCTTGCTAATACCCAAAGTCTAGGTGATTTTCAATGTTTTACTCAATGATGTAAGTTGCAAAGAAGTGGCATTTCCACTCTGATCAGCTTAGCCAATGGAATGTTCTGAAATCATATTTTTCAGAAACATGTGGAAATCCATCACATTGTATACAATAATTGTGTAGGTGTCAGATTTTAAAATTTTTCTGTTGGTTGGCTTATTGTCCTTAGTAACGTCTCCTAGATATCCTTTCAAACAGCTCTCAGCAGCTCTTCTCCAGCTGTACAGCCAAGTTTGCTGATGGCCAGCAGTGTTCTGTACCTGTTTTTGACATCACGCATCAAACTCCTCTGTGTGAAGAACATGCCAAGAAAATGGTAAAAAAAAAAAGCATTTCTTATTCTTGTTGCTTTTTTTTCTTTCTTAAAGGGCCACTCTAGGCACCCAGACCACTTCAGCTTAATGAAGTGGTCTGGGTGCCTGGTCCAGCTAGGGTTAACCCATTTTTTTCTAAACATAGTTTCAGAGAATGTTTATAAATGAGACAGCCGCTAGAGGCGCTTGCGTGATTCTCACTGTGAAAATCACAGTGAGAGCACGCAAGCATCCATAGGAAAGCATTGATAATGGTTTCCTATGAGGCCGGCTGAATGCGCGCGCAGCTCTTGCCGCGCGTGTGCATTCAGCCGACGGGGAGGATCGGAGGCAGAGAGCTCCCCGCCCAGCGCTGGAAAAAGGTAAGTTTTACCCCTTTTCCCCTTTCCAGAGCCAGACGGGAAGGCGACCCTGAGGGTGGGGGCACCCTCAGGGCACTATAGTGCCAGGAAAACGAGTATGTTTTCCTGGCACTATAGTGGTCCTTTAATCTTTAATGTATTTTTTTTTAAAAATGGTTTGTTTATAATCTCTGGTTCTTAACTGGTTTCTCCAGTTATAACAAGTACAGCTTGCTGGAGTGGTTATGAAGAGTACCCTGGTGACATTCTTCAGTTTTGTAACAGTTTGCCCCCTTACCTGGTTCCCACAGGTGGCACAGGCATTTCTCCTCCTGGCTGATAATGACTTCGACAACATCCGGCTTCTGCAGAGCTGCTGGTGCCAAGCCTGTTGCGCATTCATTGTTGAAAGTGTCAGCTGACTGCTTTCAGCCAATGAATTACATTCTATGCATAGAAATATGCACACAATTGACATTAGCTTCAGTTCCGGGCTGGGTAATGACACAACAATGATGTTGCCAGAGGTAGAATTACCCCTCCAGAGGCAAAGTGGTTAATCTGTGTATGTGCCACGAAATGCCACACATACAGACTCCAGGCACCATGACTTCTTCCACTCACTAAATTGGTTGTGGTGCTTGGAGCAATTCATTAAGTATTTCAGTGTTATTTAAAGGATTACTCCAAGTACCGTGACCACTTCAGTGTTGTGAAGTGGTCAAAGTGCTTGAAGTTTGTACGTGCAGCGTGTCACTGAGAAACCCTGCACTTAAAGAGTTAAATTACATTGCTGTGTAACTCCATCTCCTTCAGCATCATTAGCGAGCATGGGATAAGAGTTTCGAGCTGGCTAACGTGAATTCTGTGCATATTTGGCATTGGTTACCAGCCATATATGACAGACGACCAGTGGCGACACCCATCTGCCCATCAGCCGTGCCTAAGGGTTATTCTTTGTAGTTCATATAATCAAATACAACTAAAGAATGTGTCATTGAGCTAGTTTTACAATCATGGAGATGGAGCCGAGAAAAGATCCCTGTTTTTTCTTTGTTTTGTTTTTAATTAAAATTAAGGACCTCTGGTATGCTTGGAAATAAAGAGGACCATAAATACAATTTTTATGCTTTTTGGATCTTTTTTCCTTTTTACAACCATGTTTCAGATTTTCCTAATCCTTAAACTGCATGGAATTACTGAGATGATGTAACTTGACTTGGTAGGGAAATTATGGTAGTATGAAGTGTTTCCAAAGTTATTCATTCTATGTATGTTTAAGTCTATTTGTGTGGCAGGTTTAACTAGTAGGTTGTCCGTTGTAAAGTATGTTATCTCAAATTCAGGATAATTTTCTGCGAGGGGACAGCTCACGTAAAATTCAGCACCAGCAGCAGAGAAAACCCAGGAAAAAGACCAAGCCTCCTGCACTTACCAAAAAACCGAAGAAAAAGAGGAGGCGTGGCCCCAGGCGGCCCCAGAAACCCATTCCACCTGCTGTGCCCCAAGGCAATCTCTGCATGCCCAGCAGCCTCACACTGCCAGTGGAGGTCTCAAACATAAGGCAAGTTTTAAAACACTATGGAGCATCTTCTCGTATCTCAGTAGAAAAATGCCTCCCACATGCGATTTAAATGTGCGTGATGATCTATTCTTGTCATGCGCTTTGCATCCTAATTGCACAGGACAAGTATGGGCTTTTGTAGTGCCAATTATATACCTTCCTTGGTAATCTTGGCCTCCATCTTCCTTGCCTTCCCTTGCTGTGCCAATTTACAGAGTTGTTGACTTTGCCATATGATAAAATGGTGATTTTTAAACCCACATTTTTATTTATTTAAACTTTTTACATAATTTACTTTAAAGTAGTATTGTCCGAAATCATGAGCTGTGATTCCTCAGAGAAGTTAAAGTTCTCTTGAGGTATAGAAACATATCAAGTCCAAGGGGCATATTTTGGAACTGAAGCCCAGTTGCAGAGAGCAACACACTCTTGAAAATGCAGCTTCCTGGGAGGGCCTGGGGATGAAGACCAGTCATGCGGAGGTTAGCAGTAATATTAGGGGGCTTTATAAAATATAAAATCCTAAATGTCTATTCAAGGCAAGGGTGGGGGTTGTCAAGCATAGGTTCACCACCAGTTAAGTACAAGTCCATGAAATCCAGGGTATCCAACACTAAAGTATGAAAAAATGGACCTGTGCTCAGGAAACTGAAGTGGGACACAAAAGCTAAAGATGGTCTCTGTAGTAGGTTTGTTAGAATAAGAGTATTCATATGGGTGTTCCCTGGGGTTCTGTAGGTGAGACATGTCATGGTCACAGCCATGTTCTGTGTGTGATGCATGTGAAAGTTCAATAAAAGACATCAAAGACGGTGCCAGTATTGTTTTGATGTATGGTGTCAAGGGGACATTGGTGTTGGGACCTGGCACTCTGGATCAAAGGGATCATTGAGGCTATTCTGCATTGACCTTGTGTCAAGTGGGGCCTGGTGTGGCTGTATAGCCACTGACCTATGTAAAGGCCTAGTAGCTGTTGGAAACAATGTGAATGGGCTGGAAGCCAGTCACTGCACAGTACACAAAACGCTAACCATTTTAGGGTAATAGTGGTACCAGTCATGTTTTAAATTCCCTATCTCTCTTTTTTTTTTTTTTCTCCATTCTAACCTTATCAACTGAGACATATGTTAAACTGGCAAAACAAAAGTGGGAAAAAGATTGGAAGCCATGCTTTTCCTTTATGAGTTACATCTATTTAACAATTCATATGACATAATACGAAAAAGAATTTGGATGATTGTTTGCATGATGCAGCCTTTAGCAGCACTTTAATATATCTCTTATTCTCTAGAATCCTGTAAAGTTGTGTAGAAACCTGTCTTGCATATGTTGTGTTATCAACAAAACAAAACTTTGTAATGAAATTTTGTTTACTGTTGCAATTTTTTTGACAGGTTTTATTGCGTTAACTTTTGTTTTCTCTCTTAAAACTCCCACTCAGATAAATGTTGTATGTACATCTGTTCAGGTCAGGGATAGCAATGTTGATTGCCTCTGTGTTATAGGAGCCCATCCACGCCAGACTTGAGTACTGATGAGCTGCCTGATGACATCACTAGTGAGATTGCAGACATTCCCCATGATTTGGAATTAAATCAAGAGGATTTTTCTGATGTACTGCCACGTTTACCAGATGATCTCCATGTCTTTGATTTCTTTGAAGGTGCCCTAAGAGATAAATATATTTTTTTTTTCATTTTCTTCTGATCGTCAGTTTCTCTTGTAGAAACTATTGAATGAACCAAATTGCATGCTTTCCAAGTTTAAAAAAAAAACAAAAAAAATCTGAATCTTTGTTTCTCTGTTTTTTGTTTTTTTTCTTGCGTTTTTTTTTCTATATAATTAGATGCATTAATGATTTCTCTAACAAAGTAGAAATTCAGTTAGAAGTAAAGGAGAATTATTAAAAAAATAATTTTTTGCTTAAAGATCTTAGAACTGCAGCACTTACACAGGCAATAGGTGTAGCTGGCAGAAGCCACTTTGACCAGGAAAAAGTCTCTACCAATCAGCAGTCTCTACTTCTGGGCTGTCCTATAGCTCTTTGTCAAACAAGTGCCTGGCCACTCACTTGGTACTTTGCTTTTGCAGGAGTTACACACTGGGTGACACTCAGCCAATGACATTTCTAATGGGTAGATTAGCATCCCCTTTTAAATGCGTATGAGGAACAAGAGCTTGGGCTGCAGCGGCTGTTATACTTAGCATTCCCCTTTATTTGCCATTCTGTAAATTCTTTATATTCAAAAGTGTGTTTAATTGAATATTAATTACATGAGTTGTTGCTTCACAGGTAAGAATGGAGAGCTCCTCCCAACGACAGAAGAGGCAGAAGAATTGGAGAGGGCCTTGCAGGCTGTCACATCTCTGGAATGTCTTAGTTCCATTGCTGTGTTGGCTCACGCTGACACTGTAACTGGGCAGGAATTGTCAGATCGAGGGATAGCTGCATTCTCAACATGCTCTGTTGGTCCGGAGATACGGGAAGTAACCACAGACCTTGGTGAATTGCTTAACGGGCGTATAGGTCATGAAAACTTCACCAGTCTGGAACTGGATGAAAGCCTGCTTGGGTCTGCTGCTTTGTCAAGTCCACCCACACCTTTGAGTTGTCATATCCAGAGGTCCTTTTCCTCCTCTGCCAATGTTGGCCTTACTTCTGCCACACTAATAAGCCAGAGTTTACTTGAAGAGAGGGCTTTCCCGGGTACTTTTCATGGACTTCATGAAGATGGTCAAGTTACCCAGCAGCCTCTTCCTGCAGAGATCTTGACTAAGGCAGATGATTTAATCACCTCACAACAGCAATACAGTACTGATCAATCCCATTCGTCACCCCATGGCAGCCATTATGGCAGTGAGCCTGTGCCGTCACCATACAGCGACCAAATTACATCCCCGCATGCCACCTCTTTCTCCACGGATGGCTTGGCAGACACATTTTCTTCTGAAGTACCCATTATTACACAGCACTTGCTCACCACTCAGTTGGAGGTGCCTCTTAGTGGAGTGGTAAACACTCGAACTCACTGGGGAAACCTTCCTGTGAACCTGGGTGATCCATCAGCTTTTAGTACCTTCATCAGCTCAGATGGCCACTTACTTTCCACCTCTCTATCCACTCCCCCTGCCACATCCCATTCAGAGACAACACAGCCTACCTTTTCCACTGTGACCCCCAACAGCTCCAACATGCTTCCGGGGTTACCGCAGACTAGTTTCAGCGGCCTCAGCCCCCCACCCTCGGAACTTATGGACTCCACATTACCGAAACAACAGCTCCCTCAGTTCATTGCAGCCTTTGGCCATCAGCTGACTTCTCACAGCGGCATCCCTAAAGACCTTCAACCCAGCCATAGCTCAATTGCTCCCCCTACAGGATTTACTGTAACTGGTGCCACAGCTACAAGTACGAACAACTCCTCCAACTGATGACACGTTTGCTTGTTTCATTGATCATATGGGAGGAAAGTGGTGGTATTTCCTTATGCTTGTTGTTATATTCATATTCCCCATGGAATATTGTTTTCCTTGGTTATAAACATATTGGTAAAAGGAGGAGTTTGTTCTGTGCAATGTCCTTGTGCTCAAAAAGCACTGGTGCTCCTAATATATTTGTATGTTTGTTTATTTCCCCTGTTTTCACCTCTAAAAGAGGGAAATGAGATTTTGATATGTTGCCTGCCATATTGCTGTTGTTAACAGAGGATAAGAAAAGTGTACATTTATTTGCTACCTGACATCAATATTGTGGCTTCACTTAGGTGATACAAAGCATTAGACTAGTGATGGCTGGCAGTGAATGCACTAAGATATGAAAAAAAACAGTAACTGTGCAATAGTGCAGCTTAGCACTCTTGATGTGACCTATTACAGTAAAGATCCTATCTTAATTTTTTACAGATGTCCAGCTATTCTAATCTTGTCCATCGCATGTGTGTGAGCAACCTAGAATCTGTAGAAGAATCTCTCTTATATTGGGTTTTAGTGGTCCGTATACCTTTTTTTTTTCTTTTGGCTTTTCACAGACCACATGGACCATAGCCTTTAAAAAAATCTTTGACAAGAGAAGCATGAATAGGGCAGAGAAAATTATTGCGTCCTGTATTTGGTGTTCATAGCTGAAATGTGATAAACCATTCCGTTAATGGAAAACTAAAAATTAGAATATTATTTGTTCCTCAATGTATGTTTTGAATTCTAAATTTTGCACATTAACCCTCATTAATGTTGAGCAGACAAAAAAATTTAACCTAGAGTCCTTTTATTTCCGTTTGGCCATACACGATAAATCTGGGCTCTTAAATATTCTCCCTACTTGATGTTGGATTTGTAATTATAAAACTGTATATTGTGGGGAAGGGCAGTTGAAGTTAAAGTATTTAAAAAAATGGATATGACCCACTGGTTTCCTAATCTACTTTCTGTGTCATTGTGAAGGTAGAGGGTTCCGTTATTTTTTTTTTTTTTTTTTTATAAGATAAATGTTCTCCAGTTCACTGCTGTTAAAATGATCTTGTAAGAGGTTAAAACATTTCTTGTATAGTAATCTGTTCTTTATTACCCCAGTTGTATCCCAGCTCCTTCATGAAATTGTGAATTTGATCTATCTTTAAATGTGTTGCCTTGTTTCCAAGCAACACACTCCTATATTGTATATTTGCTGCAGTTTAGCAAATAGATTTTTAACGTGTAAATGACAGGTTCATATTAAAATATGTACTGATATCTATTCACTCTGCTGAAAAATTCTCCAGCAAGTGCATGGATAAAAAGATAAGCTAACCTGAGGATGGATCCCCTACAGACTTCATCCACACACATTCTATGAGTACTTGGCTGGGTATAGCGATTACACGTTCAACTGCCTCTGCCATCAGATGATGTGATCGTCTTCCCACAATTACAAGTGGACAGATGCTAGTAGTTGTGGGATGCAACAATGTTATTTGGGGTTGGGTAGAATAGCCGTACTGACCAGGAAAGTTTTAACAAACGCAAAGTTACCCAAACGTGTCCCTCGCAGGTGTGGTCATCTGGTTCTGTCTGCTCCAGCATCACTGCTGTAATCTTGTGCATGCGCGAGAGTACAGTATTGAAGTCTATGGAGGATCCTCCCAAGACAGCCAATTCCATGCAGTCGCCGTGAGTCTAAGAAAGTCAGGAGGGGGAGATATACAGAGACCAAGTAGTCCCTACTTTGTCTCTTTTTATCTGTTAAATGGGTTGGAATTTCAGTGAAATTCATACACAGTCCAATTTAAGTATTCGATCTTTCTCTCTTTATGAAATACTCATTTTGGGTGCGGTTGGAGGGATGACAGAGCCGCTTTAAGTACACAATGAGATACAGTACAAAGTACAAAATGAGAAAATTTATATATATTATTTGAATATATTTCTAGATTTTAAATTAAACAATTTCCCTTTACAAAGCAGGACCTTAGATTAAAGGCTTAGATCCCATATATTAAATAAGAAATATATGTATATTTCATTCAGTTAAATTTCTTATGTTTTGAGCAGAGCAATTTAGTGAATCCAAAATCAGAAGCAGGCTTAAGGAACACTGTGAGCACCCACCATAACCTGGAGTGCCCTAACTCCCCCCAATGTAAATTAGTGAAATAATTTTAGAATGGTTTGACTTCTTACCTGAGATCTTCTGGGCACCTCTTGCTTCCTTCATTACTTGTGACCGAGAGCGATGTCAGGGCACTCATGGTACCATAAATACTGAAATGTATTGTGGTGATGTGGTGCTTGAAATGTCCCCTTAAAATTTTGCAGTCTTCTGTCAAAGTAACTTACATATTCCAGGCCCTTGTATTTGTCTACCAATGGGTATTGTGCATGTCAAGTTTTCTTAGTAGCATTCTGTGCACGTTAAAAATGAACAGGATGATTACGGGCGTACAGATGTCAATTGAACTTGAAAAATAACCTACCGTCACATACACATGTCATTAGGATATCCACATTAACTATTAATGTAGCAAAGTTTGAACAGCAGATACATTCCTCCTAGATCTGGTGTACAAATAGGTATCATCTGAACATTTCTGACCTATTGATGGACAATTCGGCTACTAATATGACTTAAAGGGGTACTCCCATAAAGACATTACTTTCAATATGTTTCACCGTGCATTGCAACATGTAGGAATGCCCTTTTCTTTCGTCTGAGTATTTTAGTAGGCATGAATCCTTCTTTTGCATAAATCTGTTTTGGAAGTATTCTACATAAAACAGTTGATCTGTCTAACAGTTTGAGATACTGGCAGCAGTCTAATATGTACTGACTAGTGAAAGATCTGTGACACTATTATTTTATATATTTTGTATTTCCTTTACAAAATCATAGCTGGTGAAGGAAATAAATGCATTAACATAACTTTAAATTTAAAATTGGTTGCGATCAAAATACTATTAATCTAGTTACATATATATATTTTTTTTGTTTCTGTGCTAGTTTTCTTTGAAATAATTCTGTCTTCAAGCCAGCTGATAGAAATGCCTAACCTGAAGTCGACGTGCATTTGTAAACTGAACATGTTGCTTAGTTTTACACCCCAGATATTTGTAAACTATATTTCCCATGATGCCAAGAATATTTTTTTTTTTTTTTTTTAGAATTTATATTAAGAGAAGCAGTGCCTGCAGGCTCGTTAAACTAGCTCTGCTACCTTTTGGGGTTTTACATATTTTGTAGAGATTCACACATCTCTGCATTGTGTATGGTGGCCAGGGGGTGAAAGTGAAGGTAGATATGCTGTCCTATAATTGCAGGTTTAGTGTAAGCATAAAACATCTCCTTATGCACTGATAAATGATACTTAAAAAAATAAATAAAAAAATTAAGGAGATGGTAAACCTTTATCCCTTCTCCATTGTAGACAACAAACTTTCTTGCCAGGTCCAAGGGTGTAACACTAATATATTAACCACCCTATCTCCCACCTATGTGCAGCTACAAACATACCCAGAGTGCAGGGTGCACTTACCTCATGGCCCTGATATGCTGTCTTCTTTGCCGAAGCACTGGCGACTGAGTGGAGGCCTAAGGGAATGGAATATTTTTCTTCTTTTTAGCAAAGAATGAGGTTCCCTTACCAAAGGGATACTTATCAGAACCGTGCATGCTCTGTAGTTGCTCTGATGAGCAGGAAAACCAGCTGTAGGAGGGTTTTTCTGCTGTGTTCATTCTTTGCATGGATGTTTTGCCATCAGCATACCTGTTTATACTGCAAAATTAAATGAAATCTCATTTTAATTTGTGTGTGTGTGTGTGTGTATATATATATATTAATATAATTTAATACATTGCTAAACACAAATACACACACCAGTCAAGCCAGAAGACTTGCTTTTCCCACAGAAATCTCACTTTAACAGTGCTCTCACTACTGCAGGGACAAGAACCACATTTTTGCCTCCTAATTCCACTTTATACATGGATTCCTTAGAGTATGTGTCTGGTTCTTTGTTGAGCTAAGTTGCATATGCATACCCACTACTCCCTTGCAGTAGTGAGAGCACTGTTAAAGTGAGACTTCTATGGGAAAAGCAAGTCTTCTGGCTTGACTGGTGTGTATTTATGTTTAGAAATTTATTAACTATCCACTTACTTCAGTGTGTGTGTGTGTGTGTGTGTGTGTGTGTATATATATATATATATATGTGTATGTGTGTGTGTGTGTGTATATGTGTATATATATATATATATATATATATATATATATATATATATATATATATATATATATATATATATCACTCTCTACATTTGACAGTAATTCTACTACCATAACGTAGAGATGAATATGTCTCCACTGTCATTTAAATGTAACAATGACAGGTAATTACTTTTTTAAATGTGCTTATCATTGCTTTATATAAAACCTGTTACTATAAACTCCTTCTATTGCTAAACCGTAACAACTTATTCTTGTCACCCCACTTCAAACTACTTCCCTGATGACAAAAACTTCATTGTGTGGTCAAGTTGACGGTGATCAAAATGACTTCGATCAAATTCACCACTAAGATACTCCGTCTTCAGTGAACCATTTCTACATAGAACAGGTTGGAGATGTAGTAATGAGTTATTGCATAATTGTGTTTTGGTATAAAAGCTGCAATAAACCAGAGGAAAAGCTCTTGCACCCTGATAAAAAAAAAAAATCAGAATGATCTAGTAAAAATAAAAAAAAGACCATGTATATAAATTGTTGCAAGAAATTGCACTACACTTCTATTCTATCCTCTATCTAGATATCTGGACAATGGGAGCTTTGAGAATATAATAAAGGTTTGCTGTAATATAAAATCTCTATAAACTAGACTATAATAACTGGTTACAAGTAACCCCCCTCACCCCACAAAAGTTTATGTAAATATCACATACTAAGCATATGATGAGTAAAGTAGCAAGTTCCTCAAATGCATATCAGTAGAAAATTATCCATCAAAAACAATAAATGCATTTATTTTACTACCAATGGCGAAAAACATTTATTTATTTTTTTGTACAACATTTTTGTAGTACTTAATTCATGCTAGTTATTAAGGTAGAAATCTGGTGTAACAACATTCAGTTTAGCAGATTTTCTATTGTTTAGTGAGCTGATGGCTAGGGTTGGCATTTTTAGTTTATTTAGAATTATATTCACAATGATACTGTGGCTTGGCATCATGGGAAAGTTGACCGATCTCAACCATTACTGGCCTAGCGCTACATTTGCTGGAGTAGAAATTGAAAACCACACATATTTTGGCTCTACACAGATGCTTCCATGGCAGTTGTATTTTCTCAATTTCTTCCTTGGCAGACTTTCTCTAGCCCGACACACTTATAATTTTGTTAAAACTTTCACAAAATCCAACCTCAAGGGGCTATCTTTGCTTAATACGGCACTGTCACTATCTGGGGGTATTTGCATATTTAACAAAATCCCCAATAGTGACATCTCTGCCTGGGGGTTAAGTTATACTTACCCGATTCTGTCCACTGTGAACGCCACCATCTTTGCTCCTCAACTCCCAGCGCTTCACCTGCACGAGAATACAACATTGATTACTGTGGAGGCTCATGCGAGACCACAGGTCCACGGGTACCTCCATAGATCTTATCTGGTGATGAGCGATGCAATACCTTAGTACCATAGCCAATCTTGAAGTGGCGTAACATGACAGGGCTAGCCTCTACCTTTTTGTTAAGTTAGACATTTACAATAAGGTAAAATAGTCCCTACTTTGTTCTATCTGTTGACTGTGTTGAAGTTTAAATGAAATTCCTACACCATCTTTATTAGCATTTCATTTTTTATTTTTTTTTGTGGGGGGAGGTGATGGAGCTACTTTAAATGGACATTCTAGACACTATAACAGGCATAGGCAACCTTCGGCACTCCAGATGTTTTGGACTTCACCTCCCATGATGCATTGTCAGCATTATAGGGGATATAGTCCACAACATCTGGAGTGCCGAAGGTTGCCTATCCCTGCAATGTAACCTCACTTCATTGAAGTGGTTCAAGTACCCGGTGAACTCTGATGCCATCCCTCCATACAGAGCTAAAATATTTTCAGCCTGTTTTAAACACTGAATGAAGGTCCCAGACACCTGCAGGCTGCTCGGGTTATTGCTTCTCACCAGCAAAGCTGCCAGTATGACTTTGTATGGCTAAAGTGGAGTGTCGTCTCTGCCTTAGTCCTATCTCCAGCGGAAGCTGGGCAGTCAGGGACCATGTTCAGTATGTAACTGTTTGAAAATATTGGAGGGTGGTACCAAAGCACCCCAGGCACTCAACCACTTAATTGAGATGAAATGATTATAGTGCCTAAATGTCAACACCTTTTTTTTTTTTATATCTAATCATTCTTTCACGTTTTGAAAAGACATGTTGGTTTGAATTGATCAGTTAGCCATTCTGATGATGTCCATGCACTGTGCAGGGAGTGAAGCAGGGAAGACCATAGAGCCTATCTAGAGGTTTTCAATCACTGTCTGACCCAAGGTGCATTTATCTAGCCTAAAAATCCTGTCGTATACTAAAGGTAGGGATGAATATTTCTCATTCTTTATCCATGCTCTTCATTTAACAAAGAATGTATTTCCTTTCAAAACTTGATGAAGGGATCATTATATTAACAAATAGTGTTTAAGTGACAGTTGTCATTTATATAGTTTTCTCTGCTTTATAGGCACAATACACCAACATATTAGTCTACATATTTAATTTTCTCCTGAAGGTACAGTGTTCTAAGAGCTGTGATTTTAAATTGTCATTGCATACCTGTGTTCTTTGAAGTATATGTTCCAGGCATGAAAATAACTTACTCCTTATTTTGGCACATTAGTTTAAAGACCATTTTAAAATAAAAATGAATTTTATAACCACATCACTTTATTTTCTTCTATACTAACCTTAACATTTTTAAGCACTTAATGTTGTTTTTTTTTCAAATGCATTAATTTAATTTCATTATTTCCTGAATTTATAAAGTCCATATTTATTTACCAGCTTTTGTTTGGTTTTTTTCCAATCATTTGTGAATCTAGTTTTGTTGCTCTCAGTTAAATAAATCATGTGTTTTTTGTTTGTTTTTGGCTTTTAGATGTAGCTACTAAGTAAGCACTTTTCAATTTCTCTAATTTAAATAAACCTTTCACTATTTTGGTAAAGGTTGTTGGTTCCCAGTAGTTTAAAAAAGGGATTTATGTTTGTTTTAGGATGTCATAGTATAATTAAATAGCCAGTGCTACTTGCATAATTGTGAAACTGGTATCTGAGGGCTGAAAATACAGAACTCAGCTGTTTGTCACTGAGGTACATACTAATATTCCCTCTAATTGTTAACTTCTCAAATTTATTTTACGTTAATCTTTTTCAGAGATGCAATTTTGATTATAGCATTGATCTTCATTACAAGTGTGCTTAAAAATATATATAGAAAGATGAATGAGAAACACTCTTCTGAAACAGTACAGGAATAATTAGTCACATTGCTAATTTTGCTAATTAAAAAGATTGAGTTTAAGAAGTTGTATATTATTAGCACTTTAAAATTCAGTGGAGTGGCATCAGTGTAGCATATGCCTAAAAATTGCCAAATCAGTTTCAGATTTTATGCTGACTTTTGTTTTTGGTGTTATTCTTAACATTTTTTTTTTTTTTAATTTGTTTTTTTATTATAATCTAACAGGGTTTTTTACTGCAAAATGGTCCTTTACGAGAAGTATGTAAATTTGGCAAATAATTTTTGCTCTGATTACTGCAATGTTGGTAATTAGTCACAAGAAGCATTATGCCTTCACTTCTTGAGATTATTTGTATTTCTGGTATTTATTAAATTTGAACCTGGTACCACATAACTCTAAAAACAAAATCACAATGCAATTAAAATACTATACTATATTTATAAACCTTTATATTTTAAAGGTTTAGAAATCTAGTATGCCTATCCTTTTTATGGAAAATAATTTCAAAATTATATTCTGCATTTTAATAAATAAACAACCTATGCTTGTTGGTGTGCTATTACCATGCTCTTTCCAATAAGTCCACTAACTTTTTAAGCATAGGTTACTATATGAAAGTTTGAGAAAATAATATTCCAAGACCTGTTTTAATATTTGGAAAAAGTTAAGTCAGTGTGATGTACCCCACACCCAATAACAAGTGGAACAGTTCGACAGATCGGACATGTTCGATTTAGATGTTGTTCTTTATGTCTGACATTTAAATTTTAACAGTTTAATTTGTTTATCAAATTGTGATTCTTAACAAATTGTGAAATCTTTTTATTTTTAATTTTTTTATTACAGTTAAAATTTTTAATTCTCTGTTCTCTGTAAAACAGCTAAAATATGGACAGTTGGAAATAATTCTGTATGCATAAAAATTTTCAAATATGGATTTAAAATATTCATTTGGTATAGCCTCTTCCGATATTGACCACATATTTAGATTTTTATATATATAGTGATGTCGCGAACGGTTCACCGCGAACCGTTTGCGGCGAACTCCGGTCAGCTGACACATCCCTGCCAATCTCCGGCAGACCCTCCCTCCCAGACCCTCCTACTTCCTGGACAGCATCCATGTTGAAGGCAGCTTCAACATGGATGCTGTCCAGGATGTGGGAGAGTCTGGGAGGGAGGGTCTGCCGGAGATTGGCAGCGATGTGTTAGCTGACCGGAGTTCGCGGCATCAATCAATAAATAAATATATATATATATATATATATATATATATATATATATATATATATATATATATATATATATATATATATATATCTCTATCTCAATCACACATAAAACTTTGATTTAATATGGAAATTTGGGGAGTGCGGTTAACGACCTAATTCTTCTTATTTTTATTACAATTTAAAAGGAATATTATTGCAATGCTAAGATTTGTTATTTTGTTTGCTTGGTTATACAGTCAATACATCCCTAGTTTCCAATCCAGTTCTCAAGGAAATTGACAGTACAGGATTTAGTGTTTCTGAAACCTAGACTCTTGGTATGTTTTTAGGGCTGAATTGGCAAACACTGTCTTGGAAAACTCTGACATTTTTCACTGAGTAGGCCAAGTCCATTTTACATGCTTGTGGGCTGGATCCTTCAAACAAAGAGCTGTGTGTGTTTTCTAAATATGGAGCAACCAGAAGGCACAGTCTCTTGTTTCCGTGGCAATTGCTCAGTTTTTGTTTTTAGAACATAGCCAATACTATTCACATAACCGGCATTGTCTCTCTTGCATCATCCCCCTCTTTCAATTTTGCTGGTTAATTTTTTTTTGCTAGTGTTTTTATTGTCTCTGTTATGTAATTTTTTTTAAATATCTTTATAAAGACTGCAATGTGCTGCATGCATGTGGCCATATTTATTTTGATTTTCCACCTTTTGCAACTTGCGTTTCCTTAGGGTGCTGCTGTCGGTCTATTTCCTTGGTCCGATAGCCATCATTTTTCATATATCTCAGGGATTCCCTTGGTGAAAACAAGGGCATTTACAATATTACAATTTTTTTTATATTAAAGGTCATTTATCGAATATACAATCTGAGCAATTAAGCATTGCTAGAATCAATCTCCTCATATGCTTTTCACACCCAATCAAAATTCTCTTCTCCGTGTGCACAGATAAAATAATTCTATATCTCCCTTTTTGTTCTCAGCTTTAAAGTTTTATTTAAAGACCATCCCCCCATCTACCTTGTGAGCGGTGCGTATCCCTAAACTAGATTCTAAGAAAAAGCTTATATTAATTTATGCTAACATTGCCTCTTAAATTATAAGTTTTTATACTAAAGCTGTATTGAGTGTATTGGATTATGTTACATATGTGTATTTGATAGCTATATAATGAAAATATATACAAGCTTTTATGTTACTTTTCAGATTTATATATACATATATAAATAGAGAAAAAACAACACCTTTTTTACACTGGAAATATACCGTGTCAGGGTGTACAGAAATCCTTGCTACCTTGCAGATCTGCAATTATTTTTTAATCTGTAATCAATGTCTGTGTATATAGTCCAATAGCATTATTCTGTGTGCATACCAGTATTTAACATATTTGTAATAGATTAGTGACACTTGTTTTCTGACCACTGAAATACCTTAATTTTTTTTTAATTATTATTATTATTTTATTTTATTTTTTTATGGCTTTCATAATGAATGCTTAAATTTCTTTTTTCGAAGCACTGTAACTATGGTGTAATGTATATAAAAGAAAAAATAATTCCAGGTAAATATTAGAAAAATAAAATTCTGGGGAAATTTTGATGTAATAGTTTAAAGATTTGCTATTCTAAATCTCCTTTAAAAATAAATATATATATATATATATATATATATATATATATATATATATATATATATATATAATATAGCATCCCATGATTTGAAGGTGTGTATGTTTTGTGTGTTGTGTTAAGTAGTGAGTGTTTTATGAAACCATTTGTTTTGGTATGATGTCTAATAAAAATGTATTTTTTGTTTTAAATTTAGAAGCGCATTTCTGTAAACACCATGTGTCATTCTCAATGCTGAGATCTAAAAAAGTCTGGATAACTCTAGAGTAAAGAACACGTATTGACAGTTACAACTTTTTATGTTGTAATTTCTAGTTTCATTAGTTGAGTAAAGGAAAATATTAAAATACAATTGCCTAAATGTTATAGACCAATTTTAGGAAAAAGTCCAATACGTTTCAGCTCTAACATGGAGCTTTCATCAGGACAGGTAACAAGATGAAAGCTCCATGTTGGAACAGAAATGTTGATATTTTATATGGAATAAATACAAGCTAAATTTTACTACTTTAACCAAGTCCCAGGAGTGCGATTGTTTCTACACCCATATCTACCTTTGCCACAACCAGCACCGGGCACTACAAAAGTATTGTTGGAGTGCAAGCTACTACTGTGTGTGTGTGTGTGTGTGTGTATATGTATGTATATATATATATATAAAAGCATACACAGTACATTGCTGTCATTCTTTTTTTATACTTTAGTTTCTACGTTATCTGGTCACTGATTTGACTCCTAGCTGTATCGTGATTGTGCTATTAAAACTAAAATTCCGCTCATTAGTGCAAGCTTTTCCTTATTTACGCATAAAAAGGTTTGAATTCTAAGTTCATGTGACTTGTGCATTCCTGCACCTTCAAATAGCGCAAGAAAAGATTTCATTTTAGAGAAAGCAGTGAGTAGCAGAGACCTAGAATAAAATATTTGAAATTAAATATATATATTCTAGTTGGCATTTAAAAAAAAAAAAAAAAAAAAGTTCACCTAGACTTCAGTCACTGGCAATAAAATAAATAAAAATCATTGCTAGATCATTTGGCTTTTTAATTTTTTTAAATTAACTTTAAAAAAAAAAAGATTTTAATTATTTAAATGTAGTATTTAAAATAAAGCTAGTTATGTTATTTACAGAAGCTCAGGAAGGCATTGCTTTTTTAAATTTTTCTGACTTGTTATCTTGAGAAAACACCTTGTTTATTCGAGGAAGCACGTTAACAAAGTTAATACATGGCCTTTCTGGGTTTCCATAGTTATTTGAAGTAAGTTATAACAATAAACATTAGGACAAGTACGCAGAGACTCTGCATCCAAAATTCAGCTAATTGTTTGTAATTCAGCAGACCGTAGGATTCAAGGCATACATGTGAACTTTAGAGTCCCCTTTTCAACGTGGGGCCAACCCTAAAATGGGTAAGTGGTCATTAGAGGTGAGAATCTTGTGAAGTCTTAAATAGACAATAAAATAACTTTTGCCAAGGAATAAATGAGCTGCCTCATCAATTTTAATAATGAGCTGCTAAAGCTGAATGATTTAGTACAGGGCTTTTAAAGCTTTCTGACCTTAAGATGTTGCTGCATTAGAACTCCCATTATTCATCTGTTGAATTCAAATAATTTTAAGATGTGGTTTGTCAGCCATAAGGAGTGGGTATAACATGCAGTTGTGTAAGTATGTTGACCCCAAGAAATAGTTATTTGAACGTTTAATGACTATTCAAATTCATGAAGTTAACATCCGCTATGTACTTTTTTTTTTTGGTATTCTATAGATCAGCTGTGAATGATGCATCACAATTTTTATTTAAAAAAACAAACAAAAAAAACCCTCTTAAAATGCAAGAAATATTTATAAACCTTAAACGGTAAGTTGTGGTGCACTGTTAAAAATATTTTACTCTTAATTCTATAACTGCATGGTAGCAAGGATATACTGATATTTTTAGTTGCGATTCCGTTGTATGTGACATTTGTCTGATGTAAAAAGATAAAAGTTAACCCTTTCATTGCTGGCAAGAGCCACACTGTATTTATGTGCAGTATGTAACCGGCATTTCTGGCATTAAAAACGGGTTGATATGCCATAGAAATGCCATAGACTCAAATCCTAACTGCATTTTAGGCAGAAAAACCATTCAAAGTAACATTCAATGTGTGGCACCTGTAATAGGCTGTAACTCATTCACTGCCAGGATCCACAATCCATTTTACTCTTATGTTCATAATTATGCAAAATATCCAAAAGAACCAGATATGATAAAAAGAGCAATCTGTAACTGAAGGAAAAAATTTGTTCTCTAAAACTTTTAACCCCTTAAGGACCAAACTTCTGGAATAAAAGGGGATCATGACATGTCACACATGTCACGTGTCCTTAAGGCGTTAAAGTGAAAGTTCTATGCCACGCTAGTCAACCTCAGAATGCCATCATGATTTCAAAATTTAAATGCCTCGTTCATTTCATGACAGAGCTATACACTGCTGCTAAAGCTCAATAAGCAAGTCAAACCATCCTGGCATTTAGGGGCAGCAGAATAACAATGGCAAAACTTTTTATTGTTCCTAGAGGAGTTAAAGAGGCATAGTCACAGTCTGGGGACTCCCGACTGCAAAGACTCCCGACAGTGACATCGCCACTGGGAGTCCGGTGGCCGGGGAAAAAGAGGGCAGGTAAAGGGAAGTTTACTGTTGCGGCCATCTTGATCCATCAGATCCTTTTCAGAGTCAATGCTGCATGCAAGAGTTCAGCTTTGAGGTTTATGGAGGATCCCACAAGCTAGCAGGATCCTCCATAGACACAACCAATTCACTGGTGACAGCTGTCCTGCTTGACCTTTAGACTCTGCCAAGAGTCTAAGAAAGTCAGACTTAGGAGAAATACAGAGACAAAGTAGACCCTACTTTGTCTCTTCCTATCTCTTGACTGGGTTGAAACATCAGTGAAATGAGTATTTCATAAAGATTCTATTTTTATAAAATACCATTTTTTTGTTTGGCTTTAATGCTTCTAGCAGGTTCAAAGGCATTTATCGCCTAATTTTGACAAATACTGCATAGAGGCTGCTATTGGACACTAAAGTTAAGTTGTGATTCACCTTGGTTTATTAGGTTAAATTTAAATTCTTGGTGCTAATGGATGTAGTGAAATTATCTACAATAAATACTGAAACAAACTGTTATAAAGAAAGTCAGTTTTTATTCTATTTAAATTGTTGATTACTTAACATTTTCTAATAGCTGAGATGTGCATATTTGGATTGTGTGCCAGCAAAAAATTTAGATTTTAGAAATTAAAAACGAACAAAAAAACCTAGGCTATTATGTCTACCTGAAAGATTAGTTATTTAAAGTGGTCATGGTGCCTGGAGTCTATATGTGCATTTTTTCACTATGAAACGCTGCATATACAGAGTTGAACTCCTTTGCTGCCAGATGTGTAACTCCACCTTTGTCAGAGTCACTGGAGTGTCATTAGCCAGCCAGGAACAAGAGTTCAAGGTTGGCTATTGTCAATTCTACACATTTCTATGCACAGAGTTGCATTCATTGCATGAGAGCGATCAGCTCACGCATTCAGCCAATGAATGTTAAAAGTATGTGCATCCTGCTTTTGCAGTTCTGTGAATCGGATGCAGGTCATCGGCCATTGGACGACCTTCTGCATCCGGCAGGGACACAGGTAACAGGGAAAATGGTTGCAAATTGGTTTGACTCATTACCCGAAAACAGTGCCAGGATACTTCTACCATCATAACGACTACAGCGGGCTGTAGTGGTAATAATGCTTGAAATAACCCCTTAAATTGTTTGTTTTTTTGCAAGCACTTGCTTTCATGAATTTGAAGTAAATACAGCAAACCTGATATTTTCACTTTAGTTTACTAAGCATTTTCACGTGATTCTGGCAGTGAATGCAACAAATTGCTATTTAAAAAATCCAACAGCAGCAGAAAGTGATCTTTTTTTTATCTGGTCATTGTTTGGTTTGTTTAAGGGTTTTTGTATACAAAAGTTTACATTTTTATGTATATTTTTCTTGTGTATTATAAAGGAAAACATAAAAAAATCTGATGTAATATGTGTATAAAACTGTGTATTATCTGTATATAGTGTGACAAAAAGATTATTTTCTTTCTTTTTGGATGTATTAATAAATCTTGCTGTGAAATAATATTGGCATATTCTTATTAAATATAAATAAATTACATTTAATACATTAGGGATTCCGCACACATCCATGTATACATAATTGTACATTTTTAGAAAACTCCATAAACTTCTTTTCTGTATGGCAAAATTAAGATTTAGGAACATTTATAGTCATTACATGCTTTGTTTGCTACAATATAAAAGTAAGATATTTCAGTTTTCAAAAGCCTTGTCCTTCATTAAAAAATGCTGAATTTAAATCAGTTTTCTAGTTGACAGGTCATTTTCCTGATCAAACCATCATTGACTTAAGGCTAGCTTCTCGCCAAACAGAATTTTGGTTCAAAAGCCACCTAAGACAGAGTAGGCACCTTCCTACCCGTATGGCACTTACTCTGCAGAAATGTACTGTGCTGGAAGAGGATGAAGATTACAGCAGCCTCACTAGACCCTAGACAAAGGATCCATTCCAACTCTCTCAAAGGTGTTAGTGTGTGTGTATCTGAAAGTATGTGCTGGTTAAACCATGTGTGTGCATTTGTCAGTGAGAATGGGTGTGCTTGAAAATGTCTTAAAAAAATTAAAATAGTTTCACTCAATGTGAAATGTGGTTAGATGCATATGTGTAAATAAAGTAGTAATGAAAAGGTTTCCACCTCCATTGAAAATCAGGTTTGTTGTCAAAATTTACAGGAAAAGGTTACATACACACTATTCCAAATCCCTGTGCATATTTAGATAAATGGATGTTTTTAGTTCGATGTAAGCCCACCTGCCACATCATGGCAAACCTCTTAGTTGGGTCCTACACTAGCAATTCACCTTGCTTTCTTCAGTCAAAAAATAAATCTGAGACCAAGAGGGGTATTTTTTTTAAACCCCCTACATTCTTATTAACCCTTAGCAGGGAACACATGATACAAAAGCAAATACAAAAAAAGTCCTGCGCTCACACTCCCACTACTCCTGGGCGGCAGCAATGACCATAGTGCACATGAGCCCTAATACATATATAAAAACCAAAGTAAAAAGTTACTTGTGCACTATTTCAAATCCCTATGCATATTTGTATATTTTTGCCTGAAGCTGAAGCAAGCAAGGTGAAATTGTTAGTGTAGGACCCACCTAAGAGGTTTGCCTTGACGTGGCAGGTGGACTTGCATCTAGTGGCCATTGGAGTGAAACTAAAAACCTACATTTATCTAAGTATGGTATAATACAATAATGACTTTCACAACTAAGTAAAGTGCTCTCAGTGCAATTAATGTGGTAATTGATACAAAATAAAATAAGTACAAATAAATATAAATACACTTACCCTTAGGATATAAACCCGAAGATTTCCTCAACATAATCTTCACAATGAAACAATGTATATAAATGGGGTGAATCCTATGAAGGAAAAAGATGGCACATCATAGTGCAAAACTGTGTGTTCTCAGTGTTTGAATATAAGACAAATGGCCACTCACAATTATAGGATGTAAATAATGCCTTCAATGTATATGCCACTGCAGGTCTGTGGATTCTCCAAATTATAAAGGAAACCGCAACATTTCTAGTTAAGAAGCAGCACAAATAGAATATCCAAAATAGTATTTAATAACGTACATAACAGTAAATAAAGGTCCTACGTGTTTCATCCCGTCTAGGGACTTCCTCAGGGACAATCCGATATTAGAACAATATGCACTTTATAATTGTTATATAATTATATATATTATTTATGACGATATGCACTTTATAATTGTTTTAATATCTGGTTGTCCCTAGACGGGATGAAACGCTTAGGACTACCTTTATGTTTACTTTTATGTGAGTTATTAAATACTATTTTGTATATTCTGTTTGGGCTGCTTCTTAACTAGAAATTTTGCTGTTTCCTTTATAATTCGGAGAGACCAATCTTCCAGAATCCACAGACCTGCAGTGGCATATATATCATATAATTGTGAGTGGCCATTTGTCTTATATTCAAAAACTGAGAACATGCAGTTTTGCAAAGATGTGCCATCTTTTTCCCTAATTGGATTCACCCCATTTATATACATTTATCTAACTATGCATTGGGATTTGGAATAGTGTGCAAGTATTTTTTTTTCTTTTGTTTTTTTTATTGTATGTGTTGCAGCTGAAGTGTACTATGGTCATTGTTGCTGCCCGGAGTAGTGGGAGTCTGAGCGCAGGACTTATTTTTGTGTTAGACTTTACAGACTTGCAGCTGATTGCAATGAACCAATTATACAAAAGCAATTGAAATAGCTCAACACAATGAATGCTTCAAGTGGTATCCCCACATTCAACTGAAAATGCAACTTATAATGACTTCTCCAGTCTCAAAATGATTTAACCCCCTGAAAAGGATACCTCACAACAGCACAAATATGCAAAACAGGTGTCTCAAGCACACCTGATGCAACTAATCAAGGGCTTCATTAGTTGCACCACATGTGCTTGAGTTGGAACACTTGAAACATTTGAACTGGCTAGGGGTTTGTGGAGTGTCACTTTTGATTGCATGTTAGAAATATGACTTAGTCAAAAGAATGGTCCACAAAGTTAAGAGATAATAGCCCTTCACGAACAAGTGTCACATATTCATCCGCTTATAGAAATGTGGTTAATGACATTTACTGTCCACACAGGAAAAGTTGTGCCGAGCAGCAACCTAATCCACAGAAGGGTTAATGCTGAGCAGTAATTGTGCAAATGAAACCTGGTGTCATGTATTCATCCGCTTAGAGAAAAGTGATTAATGACATTTACTGTCCACACAGGAAAAGTTGTGCCGAGCAGCAACCTAATCCACAGAAGGGTTAATGCTGAGCAGCAATTATGCAAATGAAACCTGGTAACTGACTTTGGGGTCAAAGGCTGGTTACAGCCTATCAGAACTAAAGGAGGGGTATTTAGGCCCAGTTCTCAGCCTGCTCAGTGCCCTGTCGTGGTTTCCCTTGTGGTTGTCTGAGAGCGCGTTCCTGTTTATAGTTTTCTACCTGGTTTTTGACTTTGGCTTTGTTTATTGACTTCTCTATATTCTGGTATCCTGACTCCTGGCTTTCCTCATCGCTGTGTCCCTTTCTGTGTTCCCTGACCTCGGCTAGTATTTTTGACTATTCTTTGTACGTTAAATCCGGCCATTCTAAGGACCGGTAATACGTTACTTATTTGTCATCCGTGCTGTACAGTTCTACGTGCTGGATCAAACAGTAATCCTGACATTACGACATGGCCATAGATCCTGTAGAACTGTGTCAGCACATAGCTGCTTGCGAGAGGAAATTAGAGGAGAATGATCACTGCATGGATCAATTCACTCAGGCTTTAAGTACGCTTCTCGCTAGAACGGAGCATCTGCAGCCTGCAGCGTCTCCTCCTATAGCACCTCTACCCTGTGTACCTCCACCCACTGTTAATAGGACTCCTTGCATCTCCTTATCACCATCCCTACAGTTTGATGGCAATATCCAGGAATGCAGGGGTTTTCTTAATCAGGTGGAGTACCATTTTGAGGCCTCACCAGGGTCATTCCCCACGGACAGAGCAAGAATTGGTTATCTAATGAATCAATTAAAGGGCAAGGCCCTTGCCTGGGCTAATCCGTTGTGGGAGAGTAATCGGAGCATAGCTCATAATTACCAGGAATTCCTTGCCAAATTCAAGCTCACGTTGGAGCCATTGGGTAGAGAGGATGACGCCTCCACTGCCCTAATGCACATCAGACAAGGTAACCGGTCTATCTCGGATTATGCTATTGAATTCCATACCTTAGCTTCCGAGGTAGACTGAACTAACAATGGGTTAATCTCAGCATTCAAAAAGGGTCTCTCAGAGACTATACTAGATGAGATAGCCGCTAAAGAATTACCTAAGAGTCTTAACGAATTTATTACGTTTGTCATGCATATTGATAATAGGTTAAGACTCAGAGAAGTCACCAGAAGCAAGACCAGACGTACGGCTATGTCCCTAGCACCTCAATTCTCTAAACCTGTTTTGTCTAACCTCCCTGTACAGTCCGAACCCGAACCTATGCAGTTGGGGGTCACTAGACTGTCAGAGGCCGAAAAACAGTATAGGAGAAGGGAGGGGTTATGCCTATATTGCGGTAGAAAGGGACATATGATAACTAATTGTCCAGTGCGTCCGGAAAACTTCCGCACCTAAGAACCTTAAGGGGACAGATCTTAGGTGTGATGGAGTTGTCCTCTAACAAAAACAAAAGTAGATTCCTCCTTGAGGTATCTATTTCCCTTGATAACAAGAAGTTTTCTTGCAGTGCCCTAATGGACTCAGGTGCTGCTGGAAATTTTATTGATGTCCAGTTTATTAGGGGTAATGAGATACCGGTCAGGGAGAGACCTACGCCGCTAGCTGTAGAGGCTATTGATGGTAGACCACTCACACAACCGCTTATAACCCACGAAACTGTCCCTATTACGATCTCCATTGGGGCCTCCCATAGGGAGGAGATGATGTTTCAGGTTATTACTTCTCCATCATGTCCTATCATATTAGGGTTTCCATGGCTGAGTAAGCACAATCCCTATATTGACTGGGCTAATGGGGAGATATTAGAATGGGGTAAAGAGTGTATGGGGAGATGTATAAAACCAGTACTAAAGAGATTGGATACTATTGACCTTCCCACTACCACTCCCCAAACTCCTGGAGTTCCCATACAATACCGAGAACTTCAGGAGGTGTTTAACAAGGCTCAATCCGATGTATTGCCTCCCCACAGAGCATATGACTGTGCCATTAACCTGTTTCCAGGCGCTATGCCACCTAAGGGGGCAGTTTATGCCTTATCTCCCCAGGAGAGTAAAATAATGGAGGAATACATCAAAGAATCCTTGAGCAAAGGGCACATAAGAAAGTCATCCTCACCAGCTGGTGCAGGATTCTTTTTTGTTGAGAAAAAGGGTGGTGAGTTACGCCCTTGCATAGACTACAGGGCACTTAATAAAATCACTCTAAAAAATGCATACCCTATTCCACTCATTTCCGAA